AGTGGACACATGAGAACCAGAAGGTGAAGATGGTCGACTGTGAGATGGTGTGGAGGGCGCTGGGGAAGGTTGAGGAGGTTTGGGAGAAGGGACAGGTAGCTGCAGATGTTGCAGAATACTGTTCACACTCGTCGTCAGGGACTCAAGGCTTGCTGCCAGCTTGTCAACCTTGCGGTCTATGGCAGAACCTTGGGTCTCGAGGGCGATTATCCTCTGGTCCCAGTTAGAAAAGTAGGACCTATTGATGGTGTCTGTTAAGAGGACCAATTCAGCAGTATCCTTACTGTACTGACTGGATGTACCACTCGTGACAACCTTCTCCACATCTTTGCGTAGTTGTCTCCTTCTCTCTTCATTCTTACTAGCCTCCTGAGCTTCTTCCATCTCCTTTTTCAAACGCTGGATCTGGGCCTCTGCCTTGAGGCGAGCTTGCTCGGCCTCAAGCAGAGCCTGCTCCAGAGGAGAGAGAGGAACCTGAGGAGGGTTAGTAGAAGTTTCTCCTCCCTCAGTCTTTGCCTCAGCGTCAGACATGATAAACCACTCAAGCAGTCAAATAAATACAGACAAACAGATACAAGGTCGACAGAGATTAAGATTACACACACACACTGATGTAATCACTGCCACCTGATGAGAAGGGACGTGGTGTAATAGGCAGAAGAGCGCTCAGCCTCTGTAGGTTGCTGAGGGGTTTTCTGGGTCAGTTTAGGACAAATCCAGATAAAATCAGATTTGCGATTTTTCATTCACAGTCCAGAACCCGCATCTGAGTATAATAACCCCAGAATCATTGTCAGTAGATAGACAGGATGCAACCTTGGACCGTAAGTAGACAGGATGGAATAGCGCAGAGAGTCGGTAGCAATCAATAGAACCCAGTAGCCAATCAAGATGAAGTGGATGATTGGTCAAGCTATTTTTAGACTCCTACTACTGACGCTGGCACTGTAGGACCCTGTATGCCCCACTATAGGTGAGGCGAAGTACAGATATTACTGTACCTAACTCAAAACATCAAATCCAGTATAACGCTTTCAGACATTGACCCAATACTGAATTGCGATTTCAGGGGAGCTGACAGACTGAAATTCTGACGGACAGAACCTAAGATATGACCAACCCTAGCCGCCCCAAGCACTAGCTATGGCAGCGCGGAACTCAGAATTCCATTATCACTGACATACAGACCTTGAACTGTTCAATTCACAGTGTATACTGAATCACAATACTGTAATACAGTCAGAGATGCAATTTGAGACAGAGAGAAGGTCAAACAGAGTCAGTAGGAATCAAAGTAGATAGGTAGGAGAAATGGATATGGCTGTCAGGCAGTGCGATTTTCAACTTTCACTGTCTACAGACATACAATCCCAATCTCCCAGTCTAATCACAACTATCAGACTCGCTACAGGGACTGGAGTAAGGAACACACTTACTTCAGGGCAAAACACTGGACGAAGAAGTTGAACTGGCTATGGCTGCCATCTCGCCAGTTTCTTCAGTTCAGTGTTCCTGGTGCTCCCACTTTCCAAATCTCCTGAAACTTGGTGATACTGTAGTTCTTGATATGGCGATTAATCCCCACTGGTCAGATTCACTGTATCTCGCCCAGAATCTGAAACTCGACATACCCCCAGGTATCTCGCCACCAGGAGAGTCAACGCGTGGGCTAAAAATAGCCCCTCAGTGCCCCCCAGGCCACTGAGCACTGAATCGCCACCAATCTCTGTATCATACCAACCGCCACACACTCTTCACCAACACCCTACTGAGCGCAATCCTGAAGATGCGATTTCTCCATGAAACCTGACGTCAGAAGCTCTCAGGTAGTGATGGCTGCCTCAGTCCATCATCTCGCCACTGTCTGGGTCCGATCTGCTCCGATACCAACTGTTATGAACATGATTGTCTGTTGAAATTTTATCAACACTCACTCACA